CAATTATGACAACTTCTTTGCATCACTGGGAAACAATGCACAAGTACAGTGCCAACATTTCTTGAATCATCAATAGTCACTGACAAGTGGTTGTATTAACAAGTAAAAGCTGTTCAGTGACCTTCAATGTAGAAAATTAAGCATGAAACATTCATTGGGAAAAGAAAAAAGTGACTCTTGTGGAAGAACATAAAATTTTGAAAACATGGTATAATAAGTTTAATTAACAAAATTGCCAAACCATAAGACACAAAAGTATTACACAAAATGGTAAAATGTAGATGTAAAGGTGAATGGGTGAGAATGACAAAATTAAAAACTATAGGTGTTTTATAACATTCTTATATGAAATGGCTATTTAATTATTATATTCACAACATCAAGTCACATAATCCTTAGAAACTTCTTATCTGTGACCATGGCAACAATGAGAAATTAGAAATGGTCATCCTACCAGAGCTGAACTGTGCTGTTCCTACTGCCCCAGTGTGGACTTGGTGCTGACTGACCACATAACAAGAACTGGTGTCCCATATGAACAATCCTCCCTCTTGTGTACCACACACCACAGTGCTGACATCTACAGGATTGCAGTGGAGGCAAGACACTCCACTGTCATGGTCTAGTTCACCCTGAAAAGGTACAAACTGTAGCATTAATTTTGAGGAGTAAGAACTGAAAAACATTCACTGCTCTAGCTTTGTGAAAAGCACTGTATCCACTTACCTACAAAATTAAGGATTTTGGATTCTGATGAACGCTGGCAAGATGGGGGTATTCCATATGCAAGATATAGGGCAAACTTACTGCCATTATGAACTTAACAATTTATCATGATCTAAATATGTATATAATTTGTGTTATACAATGTATTAAATATATATATATATATGATACTGGTCTATACTTCCAGGTACTGGGCTCACCATAAGTTCTGGATTACTAGAGCCGGCATTCTGAGTCTGGAGTGGGCAATGCCAAACCTAGAAAAAAAATGACAAAAACATTTTAGACTAGTGCAATATTAAAACAAATTAAAAGCAGAAAGTTTCATAAAGAATCAAATAAAGATACCAGTACATGATGGAAATTAAGATCCGATTTGTCAACAAATTTAAATTGGAATTAAAAAATAATAGAAAAGGGGAATTCACAATGACAAAAACAAGTTTAACAAAAACAGCTGCCATTATATAAATGAACATATCACAGTAAATAGTACAGCATATATTAACCTTGACAGTGGAATCCCATGAAGCTGACAGTAATGTGTCATTCTGCCACTGTATTGCTGACACTGCGTCATCGTGTGCCAGAGCTGTGCCCACCACTCTTCCATACTCTACACTGTAAAGGTAGCTAGAAAATAAAAGTACAGGAAATATAATTTGTGTATGTTTGTCTCCTCTGCAAATATCTAATATTTCAGAGCCAATACAAAAAAAAAAAAAAAAAAAAAAAAAAATTCTGGCATGTCACATAGTAACTACTAGTTATTACAATCACCATCATCATCTATAATTCTTATAATAATAGTGCTGAGTAAGTACTAACATTAAAACATTATTAATAAAATAAATATATATAACATAGATGCAATATTTATTCTATGTATCCGCATATTCTATTATAACACTACATACAATTCCTGTTATAACACTTCAGGAATATATCTGAAATTGCTCTATTTCACAACAGAGACTTAGCATGGCAGATCATTTGTGGTTAAAGGGTGGGGGGGGGGTGAGGGGGGTGGCAAGGGACGCTGAAAGCAAATATCCCTAACTTCCCATACTCATGCAGCAAAATTTCTAAAAAAAATTCACCCTGTCACAACTAACACAATACATATCACATTTTAATATCTTGTTTTATACCAATCTAAAACATGACAGATTAAAAAATTAAAATATTTGAACGGAATGTACAAATTTACATGTACAACATTAATTCAGCCCACAGTTAGACTTACATATTGTTGTCCCAGCATCCAACTATGATTGTCTTTCCATTTGGCATAACAAAGCAGCAAGACAGAGCCTGTAATAGAAAAAAAGTTGATGATCAATTATGATCGATTATCTTATAACAAACAAATAACAACTGTTCACAATCAAATAATCAACAAAGACAGCTGTCTCATCTCCAAAACACGGGTTTTCCTTAATAATAATAATAATAATATAAAAAGAAATCAGTGCCCCTCAGATTATTTTAGTATTAGGAATAATGTGTCGCCATTTTCTACAAAACGTAATCACAGTTTGGTTATTGTACTTACCATAGTTGACATATTGACACTTCTAAGCTGACTCTGATCTTCAAGGCTGTACATTTTGAGCATTGTATCTAGATTTTCAAAAATGGAGAAGGGGCTCACATTAATCTTAAAATAACATTTTTGTAAGTTAAACAGGGATGGGTTTATTGAACAACACAACTGCAACATGTGATCCACCCTCAGGCAAGCCAAATCTGAATTTTTCTGAAAAATGTGTACTTATTTTATTCAATCCAGTGCCAAGTTTCTGGAAGTCTAAGACACTGTACAGACTTAAAATATGAAAATGACATTTATAGCAAAAATATATTGTAAATAACAGAAGTAGAGAGACCTTTATCAAATAAATACTTTAGAAACATGAAAAAGGGAAGGAAAACAAAATTTACCTTGTGAAACTGAGAAAACACTTTTGAGATCTGCAGAAAACTTCACGTCTGTTATGGCTCTGCAAAAACAAAAACATACTAAAAAGCTATTCTGAGTACTTATATAAATCTCAACAGCCTCTTTTTGGTCCAGGACATTTATCATCTTAGATTTAAACGTAATTATAAGGATTCAAAAAAAAAAAAAATTTAAAGATAAACACAAAGAAAAAAAAAAGGAAAAAATTCTGTTAAAAAACACCACTGTAACAAGAATACATTAACATATCCACTCTTGAATGTTTACAGATAAACATTAAATATAGTACTCACTCTTTGTGTAACCTATGTTCCAAGTATGGCATATTCTTTTCCAGTGATTTCCATTTTTTGTCAATTGAACTGTCATCCACATCTGATGCATTTGCCATAGTTTCTAAAAAGATTGGAACTTCTGGAAATAGATGAAAGAAGGAAAGTTTGATATATTGTATCTGATTTGAACTTACCATAATAACAGTATCATATTATCTGAAAATCCATTAAAATAGATTTTGATTGATTATTTTCAAATTGATATTTTTCTTAAGACCCAGTGTTAATAATACCTTTTTCATTTATTTAAAACTCTAGATCCAAATGAAGTTAGAAACACAAAGAGTTCTTCATGTAATGCTAACCACATCTAAAGTTACTCAAAACTATAGATACAAATGAAGTTAAAAACACAAACAGACAGTCTCCATCTAATCCCATCCCATGTGAAGTATAAATTTACCAATTTTGGGTGAGCTTTGGGAAACAGGCTCCTCTGCTGGCAGCAGACTGGAATCCGCTGCGGCCTGTCCTGTCACCAGGACTGGTGCAGCCACCTTGCTGAACCTCTGTGGATGAGGGCTGGTGAACAGTTGTTTTGGAGTCTGCCCAAACTCCATTATCTGAACCTCTAAGGAGGCACGCTCATTGGGATCTTTTATGCTGAAATATTGACAGTCTTGTATTGTATAATATATCATGTATTTTTTTTAAATAGTATGAACAAAAAATAAATAAATAAATAAATAAATAAATAAATAAATAAATAAATAAATAAATAAGTACCACCACAAAATATTTCCTGAAGCATAACTGGATAATCACTGTAACAGTATCTTGTACCACATGTGTGAGACGTTCCAACATCTTCATTGTGTCATGGGAGACATCCAAGACATATAATGTTATATTAAATCAAATTTAATGATCTAATGCAACATTAATGACAATAAATCAAGAAAACATGCTTAAATCATGCACAGGATATGCTAAAGTAAACTGCTACAAAACTTAGCACTAAAAAAAATATATTACAGGTGGTACATTATGTTATGAGTTATAACTTAGTCAAATACCATTCCCTGTGGACAAGCCAAACCCAAAAGTTTCTACTTTCATGCTTTATGTAAAACTAACATACCTCTCTAAATCAACAGCACCTTCGTATGTCAAGTAGTAAAATACTATAAAGAAGAAGAAAAGAAAATATTATTTAGTTTCAGAGATCTCTCATTTAACTATCTACTAGTACGTGATTGCAAAAAAATGTTCATCAGTTTGGCAGTTGGAACATGCAATAGTAAGACTGCTGATCACAAGTTAGTTGGTTACTCTGAACAACTTTAGGAAAATCACAGCTTTGTTTGTTTTAGTAAATTAGCAGCACAGAAAATGTTAAAAAAAGTTATGCACATTAAGTATTCCCTGTATCACCTTCACAAATATTGATATTCATTTTTATATGTCTTATCTATGTTCCCCAAAATTTTCTAGAATAAGAAGGATTAATTTCTCAATTCTTCCACGGAGGATTATCCTAACCCCTGGCCAAACAATATAGATTAGATAATAACTCTTCGTTTTGGCCTTAAGAGATTATAACAGAGTATTGCCATCAATGGAGGTCATGTGGTCTATAGACAAGCTCAGATATCAGAATAATAGCTATAACTGCCATTTTTGTGGCAAAACAGAATATATTATATTTAAATGAGTTGTTCACAATGTTTTTATTGTGAAATATAGATCTTATACAAAGAGTTATTATCCCTTTAAACCTCTATATAGCAACTGGCTTTACATACAATTGTCTGCCTCATCTGCTTCCTTTCCACACTGTTTATATCCAAATATAAGGTCTATCCAGTGATGTAAGTTCTTTGAAACATAGTCACATTCTAATGCCTCTCTGTTCTTGCTGATGAAGTCATGAGGGTCTGCAATTAAAAAATAACTTGTATATAAATAAACAGTGGATAAATATAAAGAAATTTATAATAAATATATAAAAGACAAGACAGAACCTTGAATTCATCTTCTATTTTCAATTCTTGGCCATTATATAGTCTAGAGAATGAACAGAAATAAATGTACTTTTAAACAATTAATAAAGAAAATATGAACTAATTACAAAGGATGTAATTACAGCATAAAGGGAAATTCAAATACAGCTTTTTCTATAATTTTCTTCGGTAATTTGTAAAATTTTCTAGCTAGAGTATTTATATTACCTTTGGCCCATGGTGGTAACTCAACTGCTGCCACAGATCGACCATCTTGCTTAATTCCAAAGTTTATTGCCTGAAAGCAAGTGTTTTTTTTAATTTACTCAGTTAAAACATATAACACTTACAGAAACTAGTGTAAACTTGAATCCAAATCTCTTACAATAACTACATTATCCTGGATGCAGTAAATGATGAACATGAAATGCAAATTGCCCTCAAATTTGGTGAAATCCATCAGTTATCAGTGCATTTGGGTAAATCTGAACATCGATACTTGGTTTTCGTGAACAATTTATTTTGTACATATAATACCATGAAACTCTGTTCATCCTATTATTGTTATTCAAAAGAAAGCCTTTAGTTATACGTTTTATCAGCGACAAGAGAAGCAAGCTGTTACAGTCCTCGTCACCACGAGATTGTTATCACTCACATTGGCATTGGTTAGGAAATCTCTGTACTGTGGCTGGTAGAACTCAAGAATTAATTCTTTGAAGTCTGTTGCACTGTTTAGACAGTTATTCCACGTTTCTGCCACACTTAATCAAAAGAAGACAAACTGTCATCTTATTTACAAGCCATTCTACATTTGATAGCTCTGAGTAGTAAATTTAAATAAATCATCACTTAATCAGTACTTATATATAATGTGTATTACATGAGAACTATTGTTACTGTAACATGAACACAACATCATTCAAATTGTAATGATATAATTAACTTTCTGCTCCTAAGTAGACATTTAAGTTAATATATATATAATAATTTACTATTATGCTTTTTATTTATAGTTTTACAAGCTTAATATATAGAAAAATTGAAGTCAGTTTTAAATTAATAAAATGAAAACATGTTCTTAATTCTATACAAATTACAAAATGGCTAAAGCGATTTTCATCAAAATTACCTGTTAAACATTCTATCAGGATGGTCAAACCTTCCGTTCTGCAAACAAAGTACGTAATCTGGAGCTTGAAACAGAGATAAAATGAAGTCTGAATCATTCAGAAAGAAAAGCGAAAACAAGAATTAATAATAAATATAGTTGCCCAAAAATGTATGAAAGGGACACTAACAACACACTCTGTTAACCCTGAAATTGCTTAACAACTTTGGCTGCATGATAAGATGGAGTATGAGTGAAATACATACAAACTTTATCTTAAATTAATATACCAGTAGTTATGATAAAAATTAACCATGTAAAATATACTGCATAAATAAGTCTCCCAATTTGAACATTTGTACCAATTATTTTTTCACTCACCAACTCTTGACAGGTAAAAAAGCACATATCCTGGAGTGGAATAGTGAGAACCATACAAAAACTTGGGGCCAGGCATCTCAGCTGCTCTTTCCTATATAAAACAACAAAATAATACAACCTTCGGAAAAAATAGATGTAATAAGATGGATTTTTTTTCTATATTAGGCCACACTTTTTTATTTTTATGGATGACATCCTGCGCGCGCACCGATTTTCGTCCGTTCTCCAAAAAAAAAAAAAAAAAAAA